ACTGGAAACACCGAGGCATCATTGTATATGGCTTTGAAGTCTGCAATGCTTTCTGAAACGCTCTATAAAAGTGCTGCGGATTAAACAAGCAATTAACAGGCAAGTGTTACATAAACACTTCTTGCATCGTGGCCGTGGTGTGGTTGCTCGCTGCCACTCGAATCCCACTCCTCTATAGAAAAGTATGCCTGCTCCAGCTCCTGCTTTCAACCATTGAAAGTAGATGCGTGAAAGTTGATGAACTGTCAATGTCTATGTGTATGTCTATATGTGTATGCCTAGGTCTGCATATGGCTATTGAAATGCATGTGTTGGAGTGAGCGAGTGAACGAGGGAGGAGGTGTTTATTTGTGTTGTTCCAGCATGAGTGGCTTCGGTGTGGAAAGAATCTGGCAGAGTGTTAAATAACCATGGCCAGATGCGCATTTCGGGGGCGCATCGTTTATTAAACAATCGCGTTTAATGCTCAACCGCTGTGATTAGTTAATAGCCTCATTAAGGACAGATTTAGAACGGGCAGCAACGCTCACTCACTTACTATTCCCATTACAAACAGCCATTCTCGGTGTCCGAAAATAACGGAACCAAACGCGAAACAATAAACAATCTCACGACTGCACTTCGCGAATTTATAGTCTTTTAACAACAAAAAACGGTACACCTAAGAAATCGTGCCAATGAACAGTATCATTATCATTACCATTAGAATGACTTTAATGATCCTTCAAGTAACTACGTTAAAAAAGCAAATAAACAATGTCGAGCTCAGAAAGTAGAAAAAGTATACAAGTTACAAATATATTAAATAACAGCGTTTCCCAAACTTCTATATATTAATATACCCACTTTATATCACTTTGTTTTTGATTAATATAAACTTAAATTCAAGATCTTTTCGAGATCCACCAAAAATCGACTCATAACTCACAGTTTGGGAAGCGCTAATTTATAATATACAGTGGAAGCCCGATAAAGGACTTTTCGGAACTTTTTAAATTCGGTAATCGACCTCCCATTTTCACAATAAGCACATAGTTTTATTCCTATGATTAATTTTTATTTTTTTTATGACGAAAAGGGTGCTTAAATGACATTGAAAACGTAGGATCAGTCTTAATTGATTTAACTCCGTATGGGCAATTCTTAAATGAAAGACAGCAAAAAAAAAACAATCATATTTTAAAATTTGTAAATCTTGTCGAATTTCTTGTCTATAAGTGATTTTATTTTATTTATGTTTCACTTGCTGACGTAGCAAGTGAAATATAAATAAAATAATGAACCGTTATTTATTTAGTTTTAATATTTCAAACAAGTTTATCATTACTTATTCATCCCATTTCAACGCAAATGAAAATGTTATAAAAAGCTACAAGTTTTAATTGTTTCGAAGTGAAGTATGTTTAAATACATGCATTTATATGTATATAAAGTTTCTTTTATTTCAAGTCAAATATCAGTTAAGCATATATTTGAAAAAAATATGCGAATAACATTTATATTTTTTATAATTATAAAATTATATACGAATAATGAATATAGAAGTATTAATAAACATAAAATGTAAAATTTAATATTGGAATTAATTGATCGATATATATTAAACTAAAAGTTAATAACTTTGCTTGGGAAGAAAGTCTTATGGTTAATAGCGCGTTGCATCAGTTCACTTTTTGTTTCATTATTATTCTATGAAACATTTTTTTGTTTGTATTTTTGCAATAAATACTATTGCAGTGAAAAATTGACCTTTCTGGCTGTTTAGGTTCTTACTAACAAATTTACAAAAAAATATTATGAATTTGATATATTTTTAATTATTATTTCAACTTTTTATACAAAAATATTTATATTTTTGAATTATTCAATTAATAATTGTATTGGATTACGTTTCTTAACTATCGTTAGATGTGAAACAAGCAATGACTCGCATAGTTTGGCTTCGATCAGTCCGGATTAACTATAATCCGGTTTAGAATTTCATAACAAATTAAATTTTATTCGAGCAAAATAAATTGTCAAGAATTTGTACACCAAATTATTTTTTCTACAGAAATGATAATAAAATCGCTTATTTCTGTATTTATTCCTCAATTAATCCGGTTTTAATCAGTCTGGGCGGAGCACTATTTGAGGTATTGCTGTAATCCTAGAGATATTTATTAATTATTAACTTATTAAATTTCAATAGATTAAATTGTATAATGTTTTGTTTCAATAATATTTATTTACACATTAATATTTACATTATATAAGTAGTAATCTATCTGAGGTAGGCGAAAGGTGAAACTTAATTGCAAACATATTTTTTAGAATGGTTTAAACTTAAAAAATAACCGGTATATTTTCTGAATTTCAATTTAAGAGTAACACGAATGTTTAGCCTTGAGGTGGAAATTCAATATTTTGAGTGGGCTAAAGGTTGATCGGTGATGAAATGAATCAAGTTTTTCGTGAAATACCCGGTTTTAATGCACGAGTGTACGTGTGGACCAATGGTTATGTACTGGGCCGGGCCCATCCTATACCATTGGAGAGGCTATCGGATATCATTTTCTCACACCTCGCACGACTCCCAATATCGATAAGACTCTCTGTTTACTTATTGGCCGATCATCCATTGCTCACACACACGTACACCCATATGCAGACACTCACATATCCACCTACCTACAAACACACTCATACTCATATGTATACACGCACACAACCTCAGCGTTCCTTATCTTGCGCCGCAACCAGAACAAAAATGCCCGTCGTCCGTGTCTTCGGCACAAAACCCGTTCTGAATTAACAAATATCCTTTCTTTTCGTCATCATCATCATCATCATCTGAAATAAATAAATGAAATGAAAAAGAAGCATCTGCAAGTGGAAGACACGAATAAAAGAGAAGTAAGAAAAAAGGAAGTGGAGTGAAAAGAAGGGACGGGGAACATATTAAATTAATGTCACTCTGTCACGGGTGCTTGTAATTTAGATTTATCGTGATGAAATTATTTAAAATTTGAATTATGGATTTTCAGTTTACTTTGAAACTGCTTTCGTTACAGTAAGTGCAACAAAAAAGAATAAATGATTTCACTTGAAATTTCGATTCTCATGTCAAGATCAATATTTTTTCAAACATTATATATTGTTTTGCAATGAACTCGAAACAACAATTTTGTAATAAATATTTATTATTATTGACTTTTTTTAAAATAATAATAATCGTTATGACAAAATATATCAAAAAAAAAAATTGTTTTCAAATTACAATTGTAATGTTTCCAATGTCGATAATATAAAAAATGTTAATCAAAATTTTCTGCCAAACGGAATAAGATAATAATTGAAATAATAAAAGTAGGACTTTATATATACTTAAATAAGTGCTAAGTAACTTTATATTTAGTTTTATTGTTACTAATTATAAAATTTCTTAATTTATATAATATAATAAGTATACATATTGATTATTTATTTGATTATATAATTAATATACATATTTAATTTAACTAAACTTACATTAATATTTACATAGATATATTGCGTAAAAAATATAATATGTTTCTAAACTATAATCTAGAAACAGTACAAAATACCAACAACACAGGCAACAAGACACAAAATTAAGAACATAACTAAAATATTCAGGTATAAAACCACAAACTAATACAAAGAATTTAACTACATCGTTTAAAGATTACTGTCAAAACTCAAATTATATGCAAAAGATCTGTGCTGTAGTACTATAGTACGATAAATGCGGAATCGCACTATGCAAAGTATTGCTCTATTAAGTCCTTCAAAATAAAAGTATATTTCTCTTTATAATAAAAGATGTATTTTTTATTATGTTCTTGTTTAATTTAGTTGTATCAATTTTAACGATAAAATTATTGATGTGAATATGTTACACTAAAGTTTCATAAAATTATAGGTATACGTATTTACTATATATATTTTAAAAGGAAAATATATGACGTGACTGTGTAAACTAGGTGTGTAATTCCTATGAAAATGCCTTTTGGAAATCGTCGTTTATATGGGGCAGGTTTCTCACCTTATATGAAACTCGATATTAATCTAATATTGATATACCTCTGTTTCCAGAGATGTATTTAAGAAAAAATAAATATTTAATATATCCGACTTCTCAGAATCAGAGACGTTTATGACTTAATATCTAATATTCTTCAAACACTATGATTTATTTTAATACGAGTTTTATCAAAATTTTGTAATATTTATTTATTATGTATTAAGAATTTCGTACAGTTTCTTAGATTTTCTTGAATTTTTTGGAACTTAATTATAAAAAAACGAAAATATTAATATAAATAAGTTTTAGACTTGTTTTCAGTTTGAAAATGTAATTTATAGAATGTAGGTTCTAGATGTTAACAAATTGAAATTTATACAATTTACCCATAGCCAATGGTCAGTTGAAAGTAAAATATAAATAAAATCTATATTTATATCTCACAATAAATTATAGACACAAAGATTTAGGTTGGCCCAAAGGTTGCAAAAAATGTAAATTAATATAAATTGTAATAACAAAAAGTATGATTAATGTCATCGATTAGAAGTAATTAGCAATCATACCAGCTGATTTATTCATCATTTATAGACATATATTAAGATAATTATGTCCAAACTAACTGCTAAAGTTCGGTTTTTAAATAAAAACTTATGTAAGTTAATTGCAGTTACTGGTCTTGTTTTTCATGTGTTGCTATTCCGAAATAATGACTTAATCCTGGAAAACCATCATCTCGACCATTGCACGAAAACGGAGAGTATATGAGAAGAGTGTGCATGTGGTGTCCTTCGGTCGACCTTATTATGCTATAAAATTAATATAATTATCCTCAATTTGTTACGGAATTACTAAATCGATTTCTGAGAAACGTTCATTAATGGAAATGTAATAAAAAGAAGAAGTTAACAAAAAATATATGTTCAAAGGATATCTCTATTTTGGGTTTCATCATTTGTATCTTTTGTTTCAGGGCTGCCGGTAGTCAGGTGGTCATGGATCCGCATTCGATCTGTAAAAAGAGCAGGAAGATCAAGGGCAAAATGTCGGAAATCTGCAGAACCGATTCACCACTGCTGGACGAAATTTCGAAGGGGGTCAAACAGGGCCACGACGAATGCCAATACCAATTTCGCTACAGGAGATGGAATTGCACAGCATCGAAGAGGAGCATGAAGAAAGTATTGCTCAGAGGTTAGTGCATAGAAATTTTACAATTATTATAAATAATTAGTATTACCAATGCTAAAACAAGATTCCAAACTGAGCTTTTGCTTATATGGATCGTATTATAAATGCATTTTTTTGATAATAAGTAAAAAAAAATAGAAATATTATAATTTAGAAAATAAAATCTATATCAAATTCTAAAAATATATTAAACTACTTACAAATTGTTTTCAACATTAACATTAATGTGTTATTTGAATTTATGATGTTGTACTTAATTACATGATTTAGTTAAGAACCATGCGAAAATAGATTAATGCTATATTTATGATGATAATATATGTTAAGTATATGAAATAATGTTGGTGTAGTTATACGATAATGATAATGTAAAAAGCATAAATGAAATGCATATATGTATGTTATTTTAATCAAGGTTGATCTTGGCGGAGGATGGGTTTTATTTGTATTATTTTATTTTACGTGAAAAATAAAATGTCAATTAAGTTATGTACACCATTATAATAATGGCATATAATTCTGGTTGATGATAATCTAAGTGTGCTTTTCTCTCCTTGAATATGTAATTAACTGGAATACAATGAGATATAACATCGATGGCACACTGTGTATGCTAAAAGCATTTTGCGTGCTGGAGCAGAAATAAATGGCTAATATATTGAGATTCCTATGGAGAAGGTCACCAATGTGGCTATGTGTGTATGCGCATATTATTCAAGTGAACAGGAATGTGGATTTGTAGAGAAGAGAAGGAGTCAAGAGAAGTACGAAAAAAAAAGGAAAGGAGCAGAAGAAAGGAGCAAGATGAAATGAGACGAAGAAGGTAAAAAATGCGAGTGAATGAGAGAGAAGAAGGAGAGAAATAAAACGGTGGAGATTTTGATCTAATAAATTCCGCATCAATATGTAGTAACTTTATATGTTATCTATTCAAGTGAGTTCGAGTTTATATAGTAATTGGAAATGTGATTTAGCATGAGCTCTAGTTGAGTTATGCGCACAGATACTTATCTGGCAGAGGTGACGCTGAATGACAATTACCACAGTAGGTGGTATCTCTACGGGGATCTATCTCATTCACTCAAAAGATATGATCGTTCTTTATATGCCCTACACATATATACACAGCAGATACAACGAAAAAATAAACCTTGTGTGTGTGTATATATATACCATATCTACACGAACCCTACTGAACAATCCATAATATTATATTTTACAGTATCGAATATATTTTTGGCTATATATTAACAAAGATATATTATGTTCAGTTCTAAGTATCAAAAAAAAATCTTGCTATTTTATTAGTTATATATTTAAACAAAGTAAATAAAAGGCTCAAATGAACTTATTTGAAAATGTTTAAAGTTAATACACGTATTCCAAATTTATATATTATTTCTCTAAGTAAAAATGTGCGTATACATAGATCATAGAATATGGTTCGGTTAATGTAATAAAAGGTAAAAATTAGTTGAAAAAAACATGAAAAAATATTGAAACAAGATTATAGAAGACAACTATGAAAATAAGCAGCAAAAATGACAAAGTATTTGTTGCAACTAACTACAAGTTTATGTGATCAAACTATACAATTTCAGTATTAACCAATTATATTACATCTATTTTGAACATATTGTTTTCGTATAAATCGAAAAAGAAAACAATAATTGAAACATCCTGAAACCCTAAACTAATCAAAAAATAATTCTTGGAAAGAGGTCACTTAGATATGCGTAAATGTTTGTTACAAAATACGGCCAGGTGTTGTACTAGAAAAAGAAAATAACTTTTAAGAAATTTGACAATTTCCTATTGATTGATCCATCTGGATAACGATGGGAAACAAACAAAAATGTCGACAAAGAAGATGTTAGAAATTTTCAGATTTAGGAAATCTTAGAAACGAAGATAAAAAAAATTAAAAAAAGTTTCTGCCGAAAAGTTATTAAAAACGTTTTTAAATTATATTGAAAACGTTTCAATGTGCTTATGGTGAAAATAATCTTGATTTGCGTATTATTAGTTTTAATATATGAAATTATAAAATGAAAGAGAGAAAAAACACAATCAACTGGTTACTCACTTTAAATTCTGAGTTCACTTTGTATGTAAGTTGACTGTTTATTTAATTTAAATTATTTCGATTATAGCCATAGTTTGTCTCACAGTACTTAAAGTTTCATGATTTTTTATAAACAAATTTATAGTTTTCAGGCATATCTAACAAAAACTCATATTATAAATAAATTATTGTTATTCTTTATTGATGTTGCATGTATGTATATATTTTTTGGACAAATTTATTTTTTTAAAGTATTCTAAAATTCTGTATCTGTTTTAAACAATGATTTTGTATGTGCTTCATGTTTTATGTTGATTTATTGAAATAAACTAATCACATCTATTACAGCATATTAAAAACCTATAAAAATGTCAACTATCGAAGATAAATTACATTTGTAATTTAAGTACAATCTCTTAATGAATTTTAATATAAATGTGTACAACGTAGATCACTTGTAATTTGTAATTGACGCGAAAAGAACAGCGGCTTATAAAATAAAGATTTATTTGCCTAGGAATATTATTATCAAGTTGAATTCGTTGAATATAAATTTCAAGAGCATCGACGTTTCCAAATGGCGTATTTATAGAATCTTAATTAATAGCAATTACACGGTGCTATCGACCGAATCCTTAGATTAATCGCATCGATTGGAAATAATGGTTTGTTGTGAATGTATTTCCAATGGGCCGATCTCATAATAAACCATTAATTAGCTCTGCTCTGGCAAGAACAGCTTCGTCTGAATCATTTCGTTCCTTTGGCTTTTGTTTGTTATCAAATATTTCATCGACGCAGTGCGCCAAAATAGCGACCGAACTGAATCTAGGTCTAGATCAGATCCGATCCAGATCGACGGCCAATCTTTTGTATTATTAGCCATTGAAGGTCGATCAATCACTGTTAAACGCAATCAAATTACTCACTATAATCTATCTTACTGATTTCAAAAGATTTACTTCCTAACAATAATTCAATAGCATTATTGCAAAAACATCACAAAAATTACATCGTTAATCGAGGAAGCGCAAAACGTGCTCTTACTATACATCTAATTTGTTAATAATTAGTACAATTCGATACATTTTATTTTATATTTTTGTCATTATTTATATATTTGTTGTAATATAAGTGTCCAATTTCATAAATAAAATATGCAAATGGACATTTTCATAATTAAAATATAACATAAAACTGAAAACATTTGAAACTTATGAGTATTATTTTACAAATTAGTAACTATAAACGGTCAAGTTCCTGACGTGTTTACAACGTTCCTTGTAAAGGCGCAGTTTGTTCTTGCTTATGTGAGGAAGCTTGTAATCGTTGTCTCCTTTATGAAGTATGGTCAATTCCATAAACTTTTGCAATATAATGAAAAAATGTCTAGCTTTTCCGCAGTTATTTCATCACATACACGGCCGCAATGAGTTCATCAATACTGAACGGGGATTGAATGGCGTTACAAACCCAAATCTAGGACTTTGAAATAGGGGTTGTTTGGTGGTACACAATTAATTCTTATGTTCCACCCATTTTCAGTACCAGCGCGAACCACTTCCTCATCATCAACACTGCAATATAATTTACTATTATCTGGCTGCAGTTGATTGGCATGGTGTTACTACCTAAGGCCATTTTTCTTTTACCTCAGGAATTAATTTCTATATAATTGTTTGAATATAGACTTTTTGGGTACTTTTTGAAATGACGACCGTTATAATTAATCTTGAACAAAATTTCAGCGGGTAAGAAAAACAAACTAACAATTGTTACAAAATTTTAGCTGTTCGCTACAACTTTTTTGACAAATGTCAAACTTCAGGCGGCTTTCAGAGTCACTTTTTCCATGCTTAATTTGAATAAGTAAGTTCTGATACATTTAATTTGATTATTTCAATAATACATAAATAATTAAAATCGGACACTTATTTTGGAATAGAGGGAGTATATTATAATTTCAATATTTTAATTGATTTCTCGATTGAATATATGTGTAGCAACAACTTTAAATCAATTATTAATGTTTGCTTAATATTCTTTTACGTTTCGATAGGTGAAGTCTTTACAATCCCACAGTCGCTCATAAACTAGTTGTTTCCATATAAAGTCATTACTAATTAAGCGGCTTAGTTTCGTATTTCAATTAATCAAAATAAATCGTAGAAGTAATTAACGCGTAACCTATTTGGATAGGTTGCATGCAACTTGGCAACTCTAGTAAACTCACTTAGGATAGTCACGACGGTTGTCTTCCGGAAATCCAGCAAATACAAATCGTGAGATAATGCTCAATAAATTATGCTCTCCAAAGAATGGCCTACATTAAGGCATCAACGATCGCGCTTAATAATTACTTACGTAAGGAATATCTTCAGTCATCTGGGAAATAACGCAGCATTGCAAAACGTAATCAGTGGCGCAGTTGACATAAGAAATTGATTTATTTTCACCTTTCACTATTTAAAAAATGAGTAGTCACAGTATTGATTAATAGCAAATATATTATAAATTTCCTTATAAGTTCAACAGGCTCTTTCTTAATAAATTTAATTACAATTATATATAATACAAAATAAAATTATGTAATAACATTTATATATATATATATTGAACTTATTCATTTGATTTATAACTACAATAAAATTGTAAGATGTATTCCTTTTTTAGTACATTATTTCACAATAATTTGAAAAACTACTGAAAGTTAATTGGTTAATTATTTTGATTATATTTATAATTGAATATAATATAATTGAATTATTTATTTATTATATATGTTCAGTCCTTAGTGTGAAAAGCAACAAATATATTATAAATGTATAATTCACCATAAATTAATAATTTATTTTGAAGTGAAAGAACTATTTATGTTTGTCATAACAAATCCATATATTTTCATTAACTTTTAGACAGATTTTTCATATTATTCTTAATAAAAATAAAATTTATTGTAACAAATCATATTACATGCTCAAAAAGAAATAACATAATATAACAAGAAAACAAATAAATTGATCTGATACAAATATTATTCTTATTTAAGATATTTTACATATAAAAATGAAATAAATAATGTTAAACAAAACGTAACTATAAACAGTTCAATTAATTATGCTATTAAAATTTAAATGCACTACTTCCTACTCAATGTAAATTCTTTTACAATAGGGAGTCTTGTTATATAATATTTTGTTTTTAAACATCTTATACATTTGAAGTATTTTTTATAGTTTAATTTCGTAATTTATAATTTGTAGTTATATATAAATAAATGTGTGTAACAGAAATAGGGTGGATAGTCGTTCATATATACCAAGAGTTATCAAACTGTGGCTCGCGAGCCGCTTTTGGCTCTTCAGAGTATTTTGGTGTGGCTGAAGTAATAAAATATTTGCTTTTTTTTAATTTCTGAATCTTATAAATACAGTGGAAGCTCGCTTAACAAGCATAATCCGTTCCAAAATTTCCGGATTTTTACTCGTATTATGAAACAATTTTCCCCATACAAACTAATGTTATATACGTTAATGCGTTCCATTTTGCGAGTCATTGTTTTTACAATTTATTTTTCTCATTAAGCAAAATGTTCGTTAAGCGAGGTTCTGCTGTACTTTAGATGTGGCTTCCAATATTTTCAGGTAGGTAACTATGGCTCTTGCGGCAAAAGTCTGCCCACCCCTGATATATACAATAATGTTTACTTCAATAAACTATTAATAAAAAAATACATAAACAACAATTTAAGAATAATTTTCCCAAACTCAAGGAGCAAATGAACTTATTCCATGGTATAAGGTACCATGTAAATTCTTTAAGAAAATAATAGTGTACCTGAATTATTACATGTAAAACTGCCAAATAAAAGAAAATATATACAAAATAAGAAGAATTTGTATTCATCTTGTATAGTATATTTTCAATTATATAAATCTTCAGATATTCCGAGGAATAAGGAGTAAAAGTAATAATTATTATTCTGCATAGGTATAGTTGTCTAAATTAGTAATTAGAATTCGTGAGGCATAGATCACGAAGGTAATAAAAACCGGTAAAAATTTGAGAGACTTTTCTGATTGTCATTGGGTTGATCCTCGTCGATTTGGGATGATTTTAGGTAAAGATAATTGCCTTTGAGACTGTGCTATCAGGTTGGAACCGTTGAAAGTTTTGTTAATAATTGAGTGCCATTTGCCTACTTGTATAACGTCTCTCCTTGATAGAAAGAGAGAGGAGCATTCCGTCTGTCAAACCAGTGGCAAATTTATGTTGATGTCGTCCCGCTATGGTCCGGACTTGAAGAAGAGAGGCCGTAGACGTGTTGAGGAGGGAGAGAAGTAGCTTTATATATATGTATAAAGTATTTATCGGGTTGGGTTGCTGTGGTCTTCTGTTGGAGCATTCCAGATGCAGATACAAGCGCACGCAGATTGTTAAATCATTAGAAGTTGTATCTGGTGGATCCTCGATCTGAGGGGGTAGACATCATTTAATTGCGGAAGGAACGCAAGATGAAGATCCGTGGGCGAAGGAAGATGAGACACGGCGGAGCGCCCGATAAATCGCTGATTTGGATATCGAAGCAAGCCAGGTGAAAAATATTTGTAATAATAAACCATATTGAGATGGGTCGAGGGTCGTATTTCATACCTGGCCAGTACATAAATAAATACTCCTCTCTCACTCTCTCGCGATGTGTGTATGTGTTTCCCTTCGTGAACGTGAGATACTTTCGGGGTATGCCTTAATTAAGATTTTTTCCGTCATTAATTTACCTCACCCACAAGCCGATTCCAAATAAATAAAGCTTGGGGCCCCGTGGAATGTAAATAAATTTTGCGGTAGGTAAACATTGCATGCGGTCGTCTTTTATTTTTAAGTGCCGTCCGCAATAAAATGGAATCGAAATTCGTCATAAAATCGTAAAATTAGAGGTGTAAATTAATAGGAGATTGTTGCTGGAAGATGCGACATCGAGATAAGGATGGTGGTGGCATCGTCCAACGGAGGAAGAACGGTCAGGTAGCTTCAAGAAGTCGCATTGATAAAACCGGAGGGCTTCTTGTCAGTAAGCTTTTAAATCAACTGTTACCACTTAAGATAAGGCATCCAACAAAGAGTTAAATTATTACCTCTTATGTTTATACTCCGCATTTACCTGCTTTGGTTTGGTTTGGCTTGACTTCGTTGGGATGAGGGAGTAGGGGGATGGGAATGAAAACATTTTTCTCGAGGAACAATTTCCCGAAATCATTCCGTCCAATTAACATTTCAAACACTCGAGTGGCAAGTACAAAAAGGAAGGAACGAGAACTGGGTATTCGCTTTCGACAGGCCCGAATGAATCAAAATTAAAATTACAAAGTGTTTTTTGCTGGTGCAGTTGGTCGTGTTGTGTTGTTGCCTTCATTTTGGGCTCCAGCTAGATTGGAATATCTCGCGAATTCCTTCTGCGGCAGAGGCAGGCAATAAAATGTTCTGGTTGCATTTTCCGAGTATACGAGGGAATGGGTTTCTTCGGCGTGAAAAAAATGGTGATTTCGTTCTTCGCGCACAATGCGAAATAAAAATTTATCTCGAGGGGATACGACCGTTTTAATCATGATTCGTTCAAGTTTCCATCGATGATTTTCGATAATTGTTTCCGAAAGGTATGATATCTGGAATCGGTTATCTGCGTGTCTTCGATGTCGCCCATTGCTGATGTTGTTGGGTCGACGCTGCGGAACGAAACACGCACGCACCGCAGAGGATGGACGAAGGACAATGGACTTCTCTTCGTTTTGGATTTATAGCTGACAGTCGCATACCTGTATCAGTCCAATTCCAAATCTGTAAACATTGGCCCTTACTATGGAATTCGAGGTTTTTTATCAACTACTGAGAGAATTTCATCGCATCTCTCCTGCTCTCCGCTTCCCAGCTCACCCAAACATCAACTTGTCTCCACCACAACCCCAAATATATTATATTATGTACACATTTATGCGGCCTATTATTCATTCTAACTTCTGTCTTAATTAAATTTCAAAAAATAAAAAGCCATTGTCCTTCACCATAAATTATTTACGAAAAAACGTAACATATATACGTACGTCCACTGACTCTGCTCGTGATTCGCATCAACATAATCATTTTTTTCATCCACCTTCCCTTCCATCACTTACAACTAATGCTAATACATCTTGAATATATTTATTTAAAATTTGCAATTATCTACATATTTTACAAATTATACAACTTGTTCATATTTAAATAATAATTCGTAAGCTGTTTTTCAATTTCAAATTATTGAGATAAATTTCTTTGATAAACTTCTGACATATAAATAATTATTAAATAAAACATAACATGTAAGTTGCTTTTAAAGAAATGTGTTATTATCAGTAACTTTCTATTATAAAACAATTACATTTAGTTTTTAAATTATTTAATGTACTTATTCATTAATGATAATCTTAAAACATTTAAAGAAAATGGTTTTACGAGGACAAATCGAAAACTTTCTAGAACAAACCACAAGGCATTGCAAGCCACAAATGTGTCATTATCAAATTGTATAAGAAACAAATTATGTTTTATTTTAAGATAGAAAAAAAAAACTTAAAATCACTCAGTTCTTTAATGTTTTATATTAAGAAGTTGTAACATTCTATTTATATAATGAATATATATACACATGATCGGACACATGATCAGAAATCTGTCCGCTCTGATTCTACGTTTGTTTAATACCCGTTTTCATCAAGGTGTTCAGAATAATATCGCAATTTAAAGGATGTAATATAATCAAATCGAACATAATTAAACCATTTTAATTATTTCATTTGTTTGTCGTTAATGTTATTATACTTTAAATTTACTTATTTAAAAAAATGTTTTATAGACTAATTAACTTTATTATGGGAGTAAAAATTTAATTGTTGTAATAATAATTATTTATAATTATCATAATATTATTTTCCAATATAAATAAATTAGCATTATCTATTTTCAATGTGGAATATGTATATGATTTGTTGCAGATACTCGAGAAACAGGATTTGTGAACGCTTTGACGGCAGCGGGGGTGGCTTACGCAATAACAAGGGCATGTACGATGAACGTGTTGACGGATTGTTCATGCAACAAAAACGTAAAGAGAATGAAAAAGGGGGACAAGAGAACAAGCAACGCAATGAATCTTCCGGAGAGCAAGTGGCAGTGGACCGGATGCGGCGATAACATCAACTACGGCATCAAGGTGTCCAAGGACTTCATGGACTCGCGCTACAAGAAGATGAGTGACATGAAGACCATCGTGAAACTGCATAATTACGCCGCTGGACGAATGGTACTGTACATTAAAACGAAATCAACATCAATGTTTTAATTCAATTGTGTTTTCTGTTTCTGTTCACAGGCGATTAAGAAGCACATGAGGTCTGACTGCAAGTGTCACGGATTGTCTGGTTCTTGTGCGCTGAGGACGTGTTGGAGGAAGATGCCGACCTTCCGGGAAGTCGGGAACCGTCTGAAGGAGCATTTCGATGGCGCGGCAAAGGTGATCGCAGGCAACGATGGCAACAGCTTCATACCAGACGGCGATACTATCAAGCCGCCGAACCGAGAAGATTTAGTGTACTCGGAAGAATCGCCAAAATTCTGCACACCTAACAGCACCGTGGGATCGCTGGGTACCCAAGGTAGGGAATGCAATGCGACCTCGCAAGGTGAGGAAGGCTGCGACATCCTTTGCTGTGGCAGAGGCCATACCACCATCAAGAAGAAAGCGTACGGTAACTGCAATTGCGAGTTCATTTGGTGCTGTGAAGTGAAATGCCAAACGTGCCTCCTGGAGAATGAGATAAGCACGTGCTTATAGTATATACCCCTCTAGATCTAAATTTATATAATAATTACATGGAATTAGGTGTGATACAGTTTTTTTTTTAATATTTGTGATGAATGCCGCGCGTTGGACGTTCCGTACACGCAAGCCCGGTTTGTATATTTGTTAAGCACAATTTCTATTTGTACATAATATAAATATATATTTTTTCTTATATATTTGCATATAAATTGAAAGCAAATCTTGTTTATAATAATACTTTGCTGAAAGTGAATCTCCTACTTTTTTTTGCTATATAATTCTTGTATACTAATAAATGATGTCCTGCAATCGAAAACTATTGAATTAAATTTAATTAAACCTTAACTTATCCTTCACATTTTCATATATATATTTCAATCAAGAAATTTATAGGTGAGTATATACCTAGGTGTACCACTTTACTTAGTGAAATCGACATAAAATTGGTGCGTCTTGTAGTCCGATATCTTTTATAATTCGAAAAATAAGAATTCTTTGCTTTCTATTGTTTTTTATGAAATAAACTTCCATACAAATTTATGACTACCTTTATAATAACATTGTTGTGACAGTCAAACAAAAAATAATACGTACTTATAAACAGCAAATAATACACGCATAAAATGTGCATATTTTATTACATTAAATACTATCCTAGGTGAGTAATTTTTATTCAGCACTGGTAATTATGGATAACTAATTATTAGTATTGAATCTAAAATGAATTAAATGAACTTCATTAAAAAATAAAACTATATTTTAATGAATTAAAACCATTATAAGTGAATCTATTTTATTCAGTTGACCGAATGTTTTATTTTCTTAAATATTTTCATATCAGGTAATTGATGTATCATTTTATTTCAATGTTACACAATATCTTAGTCATATCATCAACGTACAGTAAAACATGTGTTTAAAAAAATAAGTGTATAAGTGATCTATGTTCCCGAACAATTTATAGAACATAAATACAAGAAAGCCATAAGTTTCTATAAAAAAGGTTCTCTAACTGATAAAATGGTACCTATGCAAGATGTATGCTAAATATACTTATTTTGGTTTTTCAACAGAATTTAGAATAAAATTATACTTAATTTTTATAAAAAAAAACATTTTAGGTGATTAATGGATAGTTTGTGTATTCGTAATATGAATCTATGTGGTAAGTTATTATTTCTACATGTATGCTAGTTCAAAATAACCTATATTCTTATTAGATATTCGTATTTGTCAATCAAAATTTTGATTTTTCTTCAATTTGTAATTCTTAGCTGAAACGCGTCAATAACAAAAAAAGTTTTATTAAATAAAATAAATAGAAAAATGATGTTTTATTGGCCTTGTTATGCAATTTATTTTATGAATTTAAAATCAACAATTGACTAGCAACAGTTTCAATATATTTCGTGATTTTCAAATATTATTACAGTGGAACCTCGCTTAACGAGCAGCTCGCATAATGAGCATTTCGCTTAATGAACAAAATTAATTGTAAGAAAAATGACTCGTTTAACGAGCAACGTTTCGCATAACGAGTGACAATGAGAACAGAAGTCCCGGATTTTTAATCATTTTTAAAACTTGTTTGATTATATTCCACTATACGAGTAAAAATCCGGAAATTTTGGAACGGATTAAACTCGTTAAACGATTTTATTAAAAATAATAAAAATTAAAAAACTTAATACGATAACAAAAACTAAAATTATATTCAACTACTGCAAGGGCTTGATTTTACTATTTATTAATTGAAAACAAATAAAGTTCTTATAAATCGTTAAATTTTGTAAATACTATTAAATTAAGTATGTTTATTATACTCGTGATATGTAATATTAATGATATTCCAGTGTACCAAGTATTAAATAAACACATTTGTACACCGTGCAATTAAGATCAGCTTACGTATTATTGGAACCCAGTAAAGTTGATAGACAGCTAGAATCTAAGTATTTAAATAATGTACAATAATTATTAGGTTTCAAATTTATGAAATTGTATTGTTATTAATTGTTTATATTTCATATTATATCAATATAATAATATTTATAGCAATAATTACACGTCATACAAATTAAAAGATATGAATAAAATAAGTACATAAGGATCATTCTAAATATTTGTTGCAAAGATCATTTAATTATAAGTCTTTTCGTCTTATTAAAATACAGCAATGCTTCTCATAGTGCGGCTTCAATAAGTGTAGATTGACATAGTACGGTTTGAAAAGTAAAAAAAATATATTGACCAAAATATACATTTTAAAGAATTTGTATTTTTATTCCTTAAAACTGCATCCTCGATTAGTACGGTTCCAAAGAGTGCGGGATGTTGACGGAACTGATTATATTATAACTAAGTATAGTTTATTAGAGATGAGGAAAGTACAAGTTGGACAGAAGAAATATTTAAAACGTGCATGTTGGATGAAATATATTGCCCTTGAGATTGTAAATGCGTTTTATATGGCGATGTACAAAAGCGTTGTTTGTTCTTGGGATTTATTTTCACGCTTGCTGGAACCGATCAAGAGAGTCAGTCCGGTCGGTCGTATTGCAAATGCCAATTACCCGGCTCATGTTGACAAAGCAAAAGCAGAACGGTCAGCCTCGATTAGCCTCTAATGTCACGCAGCTATCGAATAACTCGAATTGAGTTAGAACTTTAATTAATATTAATAATGCGAATAAAGCACGTGGGTAGATGACGAGGAGAACGAAGAGCAGCGAAGAGTTTGAAGGTACGAGAAGTAGTGGAAGGCTGCAAACAGGACGCGACGCCGTAAATAAACGCGTCCGGACAGCTCATTATCTGTTGATTAATCATTAATGTTTCAACAAAAGCCATCAACCACTCAGCGTTTAATTAATTAATAAATTTGGATACGTGGCAAAATAATTAAAAACTGTTTGTGCTTTTCGCGGATTCGCTCGTTCCTTCTCTCGTGGAAGATTTCTAATATTTATGGGTCCGTCTATAATTAAAGTAAATAAACAGAGTTTAAAATTGAGTGTAACAATTAATCCACGAACGTCTGGTCTTGCTCAAGACGGTTGTCAGTCAAGTCTGATGTAAACAGGCGGAGTGTGAATGATGTTTTATTTTAGCTTTTACTTGCATTTGTTTTTATTATACCAAAAAAAATGTTGAAACGATGGACATGAGTATTACCAAGAAGAGAACGACGATGGAGCGTGATAATAATAAAATAATTAAGTGTCACTTCTAGTTAGTTATCAACTTCAATCAATCCGATTTTCAGTGGAAACATTTCTACTTAAATACATTAATTACATCGTGTTATTTAATGTTAGATGAGAACACATTTGTTCAGTTTTTTTTTATGTCTCTGTGGAATTTTCCTTCTAACCTGAAATATTTTTTCTTAAATCGAAACCAAGAACATAATAAGAATTACCAAATATATTTCTATATTCGGAATAAATACACATACTTTACACTACATAAATATAAAAGTAATAATTAACTTTACGTTTTATATATATAACAGAAAATATTGACAAAGAACTAAATAAAGTTTAAATATATTTATTTGTATATAATTATTTCAACAATGCAAATACACAATATTGTATAAAGTAAGTTCTTTTTAAAATAGACATGTGCCAGTAATTTTGTGATGATGAATTAGGTTAATCCAATTGAACCTGCACCAAAATTAAAAGCTTAATACGATTTTATGGCGCATCTAATTACCCTTAGTTAACTTACTTTCTTTTCAAATCTAAATTGAAACTCTCGAAGAACATCTGCAATTTACAAGCTGTTTTTTTTTATTAAAATTGAACTTTACGTATTCAGCATCAACTTAAATATAAAATAATAGCATTATATTTTATTTTAAACTATCTTGGTTTATTTGAGAAATGCAAAGTAAATGGAGCTTATTTACTTATAAATAGTCTAGAACAGGCTTGTCCAAACTGCGGTTCAGTAAAATTTTATGAGATTACGACTTTGTATCAACTTGGATCGTAAAACTTCAAATACATAAATTAGTTAAATAACTCGTGATCAATACAAATGCAGTTTCAACTATTATTACATCTATTTCAGATCATAACATTCCTTCCACCAAATATCTGAATATATACAATTATTTTAAGTGCTTATTGTTTTACTTTCTTTTTTTGAGTGAAATATTTTTTGTAATTTTATTGTTAATAAGTATCATATAATACTTTTTTATTTGACATTAAAATCACATAAAACAATAATCAAAGAAGTATAAAAGATAATGAACGTATAAATTGAATAATACAGTTTACGATGTCAATATTTTGAGATAGAGATAGGACGAAAATTGTATTTTGACGTTTTATGAACATCACCTACGGGCATTGACATTTTTTCTTCAGCGCGAAGGCAATAAATGCGAATAGGCCTCCTGTAATTAAGTTACCCAACCAAAAGAAAAAAACCTCATCAATATGCAGAGAGGAACCACGAGGGGTTCAATTGATCGAAACCGTAAAAATTATAGCGTATAAATATAAACGGTGTACGGTGTTCGGGTTTTCGAGTGGCCAAAGAGTGAGAGAGAGAAAGAAAAAGAGAGTAAAGGTAAAAACCCGTTGACATTTTTATGGATTTTGGCATAAAAATTTATGCCACTTAATAATGGCGATGACGGGGGCGTCGGAGGGGTCGTGTGTATGTCCGTGCATGTATATAAATATGTATATATGTGTGTGTGCGTCTTGAGTTTGGATCGTTTCGCTTCTGATGAAGTTGTATGCGACCACACAGGCCGCCTCCTGGGGGGCAAAACCCAAGACATCTTCATGGAGCCGGGTTATAAATTTGTATGCGGCTTTCTTAACACGCGAACCGCACTCGGCTTGATTAAGGCCCGAGTCGCTCGGTGATTAAATATTATTATTATTAATTTTTAATATTTTATTTAATTTTGTTTTCCGAACCGCCTTTCGCCGTGGGACGGCACAATCTTGCCATTGCACGAGTGGACTAAGGGCACATAAAGTTTTTTTTAAGTACCGATCCAACTACAGGTATCACTCATATAACACGCTACTTTTATATAACATTGTTTAGCTCTAACACGATGAAGGCACCCATTTCTAGCGCAAAACTGTATATTCACAGTTTGAAAAAATCTTGAATTCTGTTCACCGCCTATAGGACTAACAAACTAATTTTAATGTTGTAATAAT